CGTCTGCAAGGGCAGCGAATGCCACGAGAAGAAAGAATACGGTCATGTCCATGGCTATGGCTACAAGACTTCTCTCCATCAGTAATAAAGTCTAATGGATTAACATTCTCCATCTCCTTATCCAGCTTGTTTTCTGCAAAAATGTTTAACCTCTCCAAATCACTGATTCATCAAGAGATTCGTTCCGTGCCCCTATGCTTGTAAGGCATTAGTTGCAGGTTACCGATAGCCCTTCTAGTTTGCACCTTTTGTTTTAATAGATGCTTTCTAAGTAAACTGCCCTTTTGGTTTTCAGAAACGTTTTCACCGGATCCCGTGCAATGCGCGTTACGTTCATCCAACCCTGATAAGTCCCGTATTTTACCCTATTATACCCATTCTCCTTCTAATATTCGCCCTTTCTACTTTGTTGTATCACAAATAATAAACTGTATTTACAAAACTTCCTTTTCTATATCGGACTATAGCCCAATTTTATAGAATGGGTGCTTCCCCGCATGATGAAGGCTTTTCGGAGAACCTCCACCTGCTGAACCAAAACCACTTTTTCCTGTCATAATAAGCCGAAGTCTCTCCACCTCGTTTTACAGACTTCAGATGCTACATTAGGCATTTAGCAGGCAAGCTTGAATGTGCACAATTTTTGATCCCTGTTAGAGTAGTAAAAGCGTAAGGACCTTATTGAGGAATTATGGTTAATAAGGCTAACTCTTGTCAGTACGATCTTCAGGCGTGGTTCCTTCGGAGGAAGGAAGTCATGGGAAGGCCAGAGTGGTAGGAACAGTTAATTCTGTAGAGAAGGAATGGACAATAGGCCGGAAGAAATGGACTGTCGGACGGCACGACCATCCGCTACGACGGCTTGGCCGGAGAGTCACCGCACTGAAGTCCTTCGGAGTTGGCTTTGAGAGCTAATCTACTGATTGGAGCTAGCCTACTAATGCTGGCATCTAATTGGACGGATTGAGGTCAGCCTACTAAAAGCGGCTTCTCGCAAAGTCAGCAGCCGTCCAATAGGTAGGTTGACCTTGCCATCAAAAGACGTCATGTCTGACGTGACGCGGAGGGAAAGTCGCTAGGGTGCCTGTGCAAACTCCAAACAGACAATTTGACGTCTCTTTCCGTGGATAGGTTTAAAAGAAACCTTAATAAGCCTTCTAAAGTGAGCCCATACGGTCAGAGACTGAACTCATTCCTCAAAACTCATGATTAACTTGTAATTTTTCTATAGACCCCTTTAAGCTTTTGCAGTCAGTCAGTATATTTGAGGAAAAATGGGCTTACATCTTTTAACTCACTATTTGTCACATCGAAATCACAAAAAGTAGAAACAATGTAAAAAATTACAGCCTACTGAATGCAGTTAGAGCCGCACTGCCTGCTTGTGTTATAAAATTAATTAGTCCTATAGGCAACCTTTTGCTGCAGGATGTGGATATCAAGTCCACGGTTCTACGACCCAGAGAGCAAAAAAGGTAAGAGTACCTCGTGTGGCTGTCTGGGAGGGGGGCGCGTGAAGCGCTCTCCTCGATCTTACAGGCTCCCGATTTTAGGGGAGAGGACGGGTGGCGCATGTCAGGGATCAAATAAGTTCGCCATAATCCTGTAAAATGAAAAAGTTACGAGGGTAAGTTGGGGCTCGTACTCAAACCTCGGGCAGGGCCACTGAGGTACGCCTTACTATCATCGCTAACCCCCCACCAGGCCAACGGTGAACTCGTTTATGCCAAGGGAGTGTGCCCTGACCTTGGGCGAGGTCATTGAGGCGCATTTTCTAGTAGTACTACTAACCCCAACAATAATAAAGGCGAACAAGTGAAGAAGGTTGAATATTGTGAAAATTCATCATACTTGAAATCTGTAAGTAAGCGGTTATTCCCGTGATTAATTTGAAAAGCCATTTTACTTAATACAT